TACCTACTTATACAGCAGAGGTTATAAAATACTTAAATTATTGCTATTATATATAACTAATATAATAAACGTCGTATACTATTAACTATATATTATATTATATTATACAAGTTGTTACGCAGGCTGCAGGCTTCAGTAATAAATATTGTTTTTGCTTTTTTTATTTACCTACTATTTAATTTAACTATAATTATACGGTATTTATAAATGTCTTTATATTGCTTTAAGATCTAACTATATAAACCTCATTGAGAATTTTATTTTCTAGCACATAAACGTACCCATAATAATTAATGGTCCGGTTTTCCTACTCTATATTGACTGAATGTCTGAATTACTAAGGGCGTACCTAATAATATTATATATATAATGGCATAATGCTCTTTATAATATTATGTCACGTTACTGTTTACAACTTGATTCATTTAAAGTTGTCTGCTGTCGATACAAAATTGATGTCAAGATTTTAGCTTCAAATTGGAAGAAAGTGCGAGCTGCCAACTGTTGGGGGCTTGGAAGTTGGAACAACTGTCAAAAATAACATTTTCTTGACCGGTTCAAATAATATAAACGGTGTCAATGAGTTTTATTTGTCGCAAATAAAAACGAGTTGAAATCTTAAATTAAAAATTACAGTAAATTTCGGTATATTTACATTGATATAATATGAGAACTGCGCAGAGCCTCGTTCTAAGGCCGGGGTCATTCGCTGTGTTTTCTGACGTGTTTCATAAACCGGGTATTCCATCATACTCAATATTAATTATTGTACATAATATTATCTTGTAAGTTGTAACTAATATTATATAATTTATATTTGTGAGGCCAGCCTCCGTTTTCCGCCAGAACCCCGAAGTTAGAAAAACGATAATTCTTAATTCTTCATGTTTTAAAATTGCTATGGGCTTTGATGCAAAACGTCAAACAGGACGCTTATACCATAATTGTTTTAAATTTAATCAGAGGATTACGCCAACAGATACGCCCCGTTAGGTGATGCGGTAAAAACTGTGGCATACGAAACGTTACGCAAAACGCAGTGTATTGGACCCAGCTACACAACACCTGTCATTAATTTTCTATATTGTTAAAAAAATACTGAATTTACACAAAGCGTTTAAAATATAGATAGCGCATATTGAGTATCTATACATAATACACAAGGGTGTAGCCAAGGGGTGACCGTCAATAGCTAACAGATATATTGAGGCTCAACAAAATTTAAAATTGAAGTAAAAATTTAAAAATACACTTGGTTGCCACCTGCCCTGATGAAATTTCTAGCTACACCTTTGATAATATACATCATAATGATTTAATTATAATAGTAAATGTTTACCTGTAGTAAAATTATTTGCCCGCCATAAAACTGTTTCCGTGGTTTTATGCCATCAAATTTTCATTTGTCAATCTCTGCGCAGCAGATTTATGTTGTTATATAGTGTTTTGTGGCCCGCAAGTTAAAAAAGTTTTGGCACGCCTCGCCTGCAATATAAGCACCATCTCAGCTATTATCATTGCATACTATAAGTACCTATACGAGATACGACATTGCACGTGATTATCGTGCCAGTGTTGATTAACGACGGGATATCCGCATTAGTGTATGTATTTATGCTTTATGGTTAGGTAAAGGTGTATTGTAACACATTGTATAAATATATATATATATTATGCTGTTAATATAATGCCGAGACCCGGCTATTGTTTTTGCGACAAAGCCACAGCCCACAGACATTGCAAGTGCTGTACCTACCACTCCAGAGACCAGCTCACCAGCTAACCATTGACCTCATCAAGAGTACCAAGTCTTATCTCTTATATCGAAGATATCAAACATCATCCAGGGGTGGCTCTAGAGAGTCTAGACACATGGTTGGGGGGGGGGCTAATCCATAATTTTCAAAAAACTTACGACATCTATTGTAATATATTTTTTCGTAATTTTGGTTTTAAGTTTTTATTTTTTAACAATATAGAATTCCGTATTAATTTTATTAATACGGGCTTGGTCATTTAATTATGCGATCATGATTGGAACATAAACTGTATATTAAGGATTAACGCAAACCAAAATTTAATCGAGAATTGAGAGATTTTTTACACGGTATATATAACTCTAGTTACTAGAAGTCTAGTACTCTACCGAATATCGGTTGAGCTGTTATATACAACGTAATTCAGTAATTTAGTATTCCTTATTTAATTAAATTACCTTTTTTAAACGTTTGGAACCAGTTCGTTGAGAGGGGAGGGGGTGGTAACAGCACAGAATAGTTTAACAGTTACAACTTACAGGTAACAGTTTTCACATGGTTTGTCCTATTGCAATAATCAAGTTACGTCAAATTATGGCATAAATAATACGAAAGACTGCCTATACCATATAATGGGTGCAGATAGTATTTAGGAAAATAATAGGTAAACATAATAAACATTTATTTTAACTTATTCCTTATTTCCATCATATATTTGTACATCATCTATACTGTGTTCCAAAAAAAATACCAAATTTTCACACATTTGTCGACCAAGGAGTACAGCGATACTAAGCCGACTTACATTGAATCTGAAGGCGACTCTGACCAATAATCCAGTCTTATTGATCCAAGTTACTGGTTGGCATGTTACCAAACAAATAATGGTTAATTGTCGATGGACTGAAAGTTTATTTTTCAAACATTTAATATCTGAATTCTATATACCTGTATGCGTATCACTGTAACATTGTACATAGGTAATGATTTCCTTTTCTTTATTTTTTAAAGATTGAAAGATGAGAACTTTTAACATTATTAATATTTAAGTTAAGCAACAATGAATACATTTGTTAAATATTTCCTGGAATATATTAATTATCGTTTTGATTGATAACTTAATACCTACCAGGAAGCTCTTCAATGATTCACAACTTGACCACTAAAAGTATATTTTTTTATACATAATTTTATTATAAAAATACACATATAAAGTCATAGCTAGTGAAACAGTTTAATTTAAACATACTTTTGGCATGAACAATATAATTGTGACATTCATTTTGCTTAATACTCTTTACATTTTAGTATTTTACATAAAACTGATTTATTTGGGCGATTTAAGTAATAACTAATAGGTATTTGGTAAAATAGGTTACAACAAAGTCAACATTATATAAGGTTACAAACCTATCTATAGTTTAATGATAACATATTTTCTATTTCAAACATTATAAAATCAACTTAATAAGTCATATAAAATATGTTTAAAATTAAATTAATAATAAGGGTGCTCAAGCCGGTAAAATGTACATGTACTAAAAACAAACAACATTTCCTTTATATTACAATTATAAAACAAAATTACTAATATTAATAATAATAAGTAATAAGTAATAGTAATAACGATATAAAATTAAGGTGAGAAATGTGTAGGAAAAATAAATTATAAATAAATAAATTATTAAATGGTGACTTACAAATACTAAATTACAAAATGGAGAACCACATCAGGAGACCAGTCAAAACAATTAACTAAGAAGACTAGTAATTAACCAGTAATATTTTCTTAAAGCCACAGTTGAAAAATTATTAATAAATTGCATTTTATTTTCATTTAAGTTCTCGCCAAATTATTAAAAAAAAAGTAATCTAGGAACCATGAAATAAAATTTCAATCATATTTTAGTGAAGTGTTACAAACTTATAAACCATTATAGACGAACAATAATACATCTGATACACACAGACAGAGAAACTTTTTTTGTATATTAATGACTAGAATTCAAAATAAAAATTAATTTAAGATCAAATTGAAATGGCAAAAATAAGTCACTTTTGAACACTGGATTAATATCGGTGTTTCATGGAGGAATATTCAAATAACCTTTTAAACATATTTAAATTTAGTCAACTTGTTATTTTTTTTAGTTATTTTAAATATAAATGATTGCTAAAATGTAATAACAGAGAACACCACCATTTAATTACATTTTGAAGATAACACTTAACCTATTTATATGAATGTGATTTAAATTTTTGATTATCATATATCACATTATACATTAGCACACGTCACTATGCCAGCATGAAAACATTATACATTTGGAAAAAAAAATGAAAAATAGTTATTAATTGTTTTAAGTAGCCAAACAATGTATAAAAAAAAATCACAATTTTTAATTTACCTATCACATTGCCAAACTAAAAAAAAAAACATTCCTAAACATTTATATACACAACAAAACTATGTATGTTTAAATTAAAAATATTTTACAATAAAACACGCGAGGATTTAGAGGAACCAAAACAGGAGGATAATGCCCAAGAGCTAGAGGTATCAACATTTGTCACAAATTAAAAATGAATCAAGTGTACAGTACAAATGTATCAAAAGTTTTTTTAATTTGTTTTATCATTAATCATGAGCACATTGGCTTGACAACTAATTTTAGTATTTAAAACCAACAGTTAAAACAATATAATTTATAAAGCAATATTAATGGAAATGTACAGAACCATTGACTTAAGGACAGGTTGAAATTATGGCTGGAGTGTCTGAGCTCGACTGTGGCATGATATATTGGTGTTAGCATACAACCTTGTGATCTTAAAATTGTCGTTAGACAGTTTAATTTATCATATAAATTTTTTGGCTTAGCAATCATGAATGCTATAGGTCAAGATACAATGAAGTTTAGACACACCATTTACATCCTAATTGTAATAATCTGCAATACCAATCCTTAATATCCTAAATTGTAATACAAATAATGCATACCTAAAGCTTTTTTATGTTTCCTGAACTAACTCTAAGGAAGCTCACGATAATTTGATGCCACAATAAATGACATAATCACTAGTATATTATAATTATAAACGTTTAAAAATAGGACTTAAATATTAATAATTAATAGTAGTCCTGTTTAGACTAATTAAATAATAATAAACAAATTAAATACTTAATATCACAATTATGTAGAACATATAAATACTTATTGAATAGACAAAAAACAGGGTGACTCATTCTGTGGACGTAGATCCATGACTGCAAACAGATTGAGAACTGTGAGATGATTTACGACCACTGATCTCTAAATGTGCGGATGGGACCCAGCCTTCAGTTTTAGAACCTTAGTAAAATATTATTTCATATTTGTATAACTTTATTTCAGTTGAAACTTAAAAGTTTATGTTAATTTGTAACTCAACAGTCAACACTTACCATGAACTTTGACATACCACCAACTACTCGAACCAGCTTTTAACAGATCTACTTTATCACCTCTCTTTAATGTAGCATCTGTTGGCCGAAGTGCATTATAATCAGCTAATGATATATAACTATCAGCCTGGAAAAAAGTTATAAGAATTAAATTATAATGAGATAATATTAACTTTCAATATAACTTACTATTTTTTGTTTGATTGTCCCATCGAGGGATTCGTCATCAGTCAAACTATAATCAGAAGAGTCATCATCAGTTGTTTCATGATGACTTAGTGGACGCCGACCACGATTAGATCCTGTTTCACTTTGGTTATCCAAGGAATGTGTTTGACGTAAGTTTCTGTACACATTTATAACATTAGAATGATATGCAGACATATAGCATTCAAATAAATAATAAAAAACAAACACAACAACTTACACATGTTTTCCAAAAGTACTTATATACTGCTTGATTTTCTCTCCTTTTAATTCAGCTAATTGTTCAAGTAATACACGTTTAATTTCAGACACCCATTGTTGCTTTTGCTGCAAATTTGACGCTTGAATTGTGTAAACTTCCTGACGCCCTTCTAACCATACTTCAAATTTACATATATCTCCTTTGACAGTTTCTGTTAATCCTATCTGTGACATCTATAAAAATAGGAATATCATAATATAACTAATTATTATAATCTGGGAGAATGGAAAAAAAATTTAACTCACCCGTAAATATTTCTTGTAATGATACATTGGTTTATTATCTTTAGATACCTTTTTACATAAAAGTAATCCCTGCTGGTATAGAAAAATTTGACGCCTCATTGGCTTAAGTCTTAATTCTTTCAATAAATCTTTCTTGTTTTCAACCCACATAGAGAATGATCCTTGCAAAAGTAAACCGCCCAAATCATTCCAATCACCCTATACATAACAAAAATATTTTACTTCTTCATACTTTATTTTAGTAGTTTTATTAATTTAGATTTCACCAAGTTGAATTAAAACTTACATAAAACCCAGTTATGCCAATTTGATGCATGTTGTCATTTACATTGTTAAGAACAAGTAACATACAATCCAGAGCTTTTTGTAACTTTGTAATACAATTTTGATTTTTTTCGTTATGCAATAATTCCTAAAAATGAATAAAATTTCAGTTAAAGTAATTTTTACAATGATTCTGATATTTCATCAAATCTACCTTTAATAAAAGTTGATATTTGGTAATCCTTTGCATAGGCAAAAGCAAATATGCACCAAGAGGCAAACGGTGTCCAAGCTTTTCTTGACATGCTTTGAAAAAAGGATTATCTTCACCAACTGTTTCTCTTAGTTCTTCAGACCTTGTCAGATTGACACAATAGTAAGTATAAAGTTGAAGTAGTTTTTCCCTCTGAAACCAATAAAGCGTATATAGTTATATAATATAATATATAATTAAACTTAATTATGATTATTAATAGCCAAACAATTATTACATTATCTGTAAAGCAGACAGCAACAGATTCAATGCTTGATGAACAACTCTCAAGAGCCGGTAAAAAAAATTGATTATGAAAGCTATGAATACTCTCAAGGTTTCCAAAAAGTACTTCACTTTTACCCTTTAAGATTACAGGTATTAAGTTTTTCATGTCTGAAAATTCCATCTGATCTTTGTATCCCTAAAAAGAATCAATTTTATATACAAAATTGCAAAGAATTATTGGTTATTTCTGAACATACTCTGAGTATAGAGCCTAACTCGGCAGTATATTGACGTTCTGTATACAAAAGTTCAGTAAGGACATGTTTTGTTTTAGTAGCATTATTTTCTTCATTTGGTATACCTCTATCGCATTCATCTACACCATTTGAAATCTGAAATAATATCAGTTTGTCAACTACACATAACCAAATACAATAATAATAATTAATACAACACACTCATACGGGTGGTTTCTGGTTGTGACATAAATACATTTTAGGCCATAATCTGAGGAAACAAAAGTTAAGCAAAATAACTTGTAAAATGAATGGTTTGTCAACATCAACATTACAAAATACCCAATTGTGTTAAATATATAAAGAATTAGGAATACTAAACTTATCTTTGGCTATATTATGGGTAAAAAATAACCTCTACATGGAACCCAAGTAACAATTAAACAGAATGAAGAAATAGTAACAGATTTTTTTCAATACAAACAGGATTAAAGAAAAATACTGACTCGTCCACATTTCTGGGACCTCAAATTGAATAAATAAATAAAATAATATATTTCCTAAATGAAACTATTAATTATTATTCAAATTAATTTAATTAATTTAGATATACAAGGATATATAAAGATATATTAACAACAGACCGTGTATGGTTAACAACCTTTGTTGTTAAGGCTTTGGATAAATAATAATAATAATAAAAATAAAAATAATATTAAGATTTATGAAATACCAATTTACCATACACAAATATAACAAATAATTATTTTTTTTAACTTACCTTGGTCATATTAGCTAAATTAATAGGAATGGCTGGTTCAGGATTAACAGATAGAATAGGCCGTGGTTTATTAATGTATCGCTTAAGACTTGCCAAACGTTTGTCACACATGGTGGTAACATCATCAAGTCTTTGAAGGACTTGTGTAACTATTGGTTTAGTTTCAGGTGTTATGGTATCTTCAAATAAGGAGTAGAATTCTCTGGGACTCTCTACTTTCAAGTGATGAGCACTACTCATGAACTCTTCCAGTTCTGCAAGTGATTGTTCAGCACTGACACATTTGTCAGCTGGTTCTGAACCCAAAATCATAACACCTTTAGCACACCATTCGCTAGCCTGTATATGAAAAAATGAACTTATAACTTTCAATATAAATATTTAGAATGTTTTAATATAAATTTAAGTGTTTTAAAATACTTAATTATTATAATTATTGAAGATTTGATTGATTTAGATATTATATTTATTATTACCAAATTAAATTTTAGATTCAATTCATAGTGGTCTTCTGAGAAGTATATTAGTTTTACAACAATGAAGTTATTTTATATTTAGTTAAAATTTTATAAACATATTTTTTTAAATTTAATTTATATCTGACATTATTCATATTTTATGATTCGAGGATTTTACTATACAAATTAATAATTATTAATTATACTGTAGCAATAATGAAGATTTAAAATTATATCTTAAATTGTGCTTCATTACAAAAAAAACTTTTATAAAAAATTATATTTAAATTAATAAAAAATAGGATATACATTTTAAGTTATAGATAAGTAAACAATTTCAATAAGTATTTTGTATATCATAGATTATTATAAACTTTTTTTTATATAGTCTGTTATGCTGAATTCGTCTAATTTAAATATAAAATAATGTACTAAAAATTGTTAATATTTAATACATACCTTTTGAATTCTAGCCTGTAATTCACAGCTTTTATTAAGAGTCTGCAACCGTCTTTCCAAACGATCATTTAATGTTTGAAGAAGTCGTTGAACTTCATCACATTTTGGTTGAATACTTTCCAATACAATAAACCGTTTGGAAGCTAATAATTGTCCACCACAATTTAGTAAATCTTCACTCAGCTTTATTTTTTCCTAATATTAATATTTCAATTAGCAAATTATTTAAATTTTTAAGCCTGTTTCTAAAAAGAATATTTGTGAGCAAAAATTAAAACTGGATGACATAAAGTGTTTGATTGGATTTCAACCTCACCATCATTATTTTCAAACCTGTCTCCAAATGCTACACAGGACATTTTAAATTTTAAGAAATTAAATCATTTTCAAATTATTTGTTATTAAAAAAAAAAAATAAAATAATTATTACATAATAATATAATGTATAAATAATATTTAGAAGTATTGAAGTAATGATTTCATTTTAGCAGGGCTTAAAATTGGTAACCAGTTTGTAATGAAAACCGATAATTTGAGAACCGAAGACTGATAATCGCTTTAATTTTAGTAAGGTAGAAGTGCTTATTGGTTGCCAGTAATCAAAATAATTATCTAAGTATTAACATAAAAACGGTTAACTTCTATTTTTAAGTCAGGTTTTATACCAATACCTATTCCTGACCAAAATAATTAATGGTATTTGGTATTTGTATTTAATATTAGTAATATATAGTTTTAGTTAAGTTTTAATTAAACAAAAGGAAGTGCGATCACTGGATGGTTTCTTCAATCACCCTATTCATGTTCTAAATTTATTGTAGGACATATTCTTATTATGTGTATAGATTGTATATTCTCTAATAAAAATTTAAAAAAAAAATTTAATGTAATTAATTGTTCTACCAACTGTTTTACGTAAAATTATCGCCAAAACAATTTTTAGCAAACTGTTTGCTCTCTTTACCTTTGCGAAAATGAGTCTTATATTTAATGATATTTAAGATACATAATTTATAGAGCATATTTATTAAATTTTAAGTTCTATAAAATCCTAACCATAGTATCGATAGAGCGCATGGTCCGTTGAATCGTAGCTCAGGCTACATGAGCGAAACAGTACCTTTCTTTTGTGAGACTGACTATAATATTGGTCATCAGTAAAGACCGGATTTATATGTTTTTACATATCGTTACTGGGTCTATGCAGTCTTATGAGAGTAAAAAATGTGGACGATTCGTTCAATCCTGAATGCGTAGAAAAAAGTTCTTCTTGCATATTTGAGAATATTTCATGGGTTGGAGAATATTTAACCCATTTAGCATATTTTGGAATATTTCGTAAATTGTGAGCTAAAATTTGTATTTCTTTTTAATTTTAATATTACGGTACTCGGAAAAAATTTTTTTGAACATTTACAATTTTTTTTTTTTTTTTTTTCATTTTGATAAAAAGAAAACACGCAGTATTATCAAGGTTTATCTATGTATATCTACTGATAAGATCAACATATACATTTATCAAATATTCAAATATCAAAATTTTGTTTTTGTGTTTTAATATTATAAGGTTATATTTATATTATATTCCAACATCCTACTCTTACTAAAGTCAAAAGTGCAATACGATTCCATTAGGTATAATACGCAACTCTTAATACCTAATTAATATCTCACAATAAAAATATAGCTGAAAACATTTTTTACAAAATAAATGCATATTAAAGCATATAATGATGTTTTTTGATTATTTTTGCATATTTTTTAGATTTTTGAGAGAATATAATGAGAATATTAGAAGGTTTTTTAGAGAATATTAGCATCATATTTTGGGTATTTTAAGAGAATATAAATCCGGTCTTTAGTCATCAGTTATATTTTATGCAAAAAATTCATCCAAGGAACAGATTATAATATTATAAAATATAAAATATAAAATACACACATGACTTGACTTCTGAAATGTGGCCAACTCTTCAAGTAATACTTCAACTCGTTCAACGGAATCACCAACGTCAGTCATTTCAGATAGAATTTTCAAGTTTTCATTTAATGAACTCTAAATATTAAATAAATATTATAAAGCACAATTTATTGTAAAAATTTTTTTATTGATTGTTCTTAATTTAATAGTATTTATGTTTATCTTTTATCAAACAAAAACCCTCTAAATAGCAGACATCAAAGTAAATTTAAGAAGTCAGAATGTTGCCATACAGGAACAAAAAAAAATCTATTTGATTAATAGAAAGTGCCCATTAATAAAGGTTCTACCAATTAGAATTATTATTACATACTTGAACAATATTAAAATTTTCTTCAAATGCACGCAATGAATGGCATTGTTTTAGTCTTCCAGAAAACTGTTCCCAAAAATCATCAAACACTTTTTCTGTTTCTTCCATTTGTACCAATAATCTATTAAAAATAAGTATTAAAATTTAAATTACATAACTAGAAATTTAGATTTAAAATAAAAATTAATATTTTAGTAAAGGGCTTTTTGGACCCTGCCCCCCCAAAAAAAAATTTTAAAATATATGCCACTGAATGGATTGAAATATTATTAAACTTAAAGTTAAGAACATTAGTTGTGTTTGAAATTAGTTTTTTAAAATGTTTAAATTGTATACAGATTATAAGTTAATAAAATATTTTTTTTGTTAATGTTTTTATACACTTTTTTAAAATTAAAATTCTTATTTTCTATTTTTTCTATTATTAGAGAAGTAATGATTTCACAGTTTAGGTAATTACTAATTATTATATACTAATTACTAATAAACTTGCTATTATACAATAATAATAGAAAAAATAGAAAATAAGAATTTTAATTTTAAAAAAGTGTATAAAAACATTAACAAAAAAAATTATAAGTTTATTATTTTAACTCTGATACAGTCTGATACTATTTTAGTCGGTAAATAATAACTTGTAACAATTCATAGACGAGAGTAATTTTATATACGAATAATACATTTTAAAAGAAATATGTAATATCTTATGACAGATATACGAATATTACCTATTAATGTTTTAAAATATTATTAAAATTCAATCTCAACTGGCAAAATATAGGCAGTAAAATAAAATAGTTATTGTATTTGAAACCTAGGTTGTACAAAAAATATTAGAGTCCAAATATCAACATTTTAGAATGAATATTATAACAATTTTTAATTTAGGTGAATGAGCAATGGTATTTATTTATGTATATAGAACCAAATACAAAAAAAAAATTTCTTGAAACTTTTTAACAGAAGTAAAAAGAAGGTTTTGAGAATTTAGCTATAAACAACAATACATAAATAGGAAAATAATTTTCAGGTAGATACTGGAAACAAAGAAAATTCAAGAAAAATACAAAACTGAATAGAAAATGTTATATTATGGAGTGTTATCATTAAGACATAAAACATACTAGTTTATTAATTAAACTCAAGTCTCAATACAAGAAACTAACAATTTATTGTGTTAATATCTTCAGAAAAAAAATATAAAAACCTCTATTTTAAAATGTAGGGATTAGGGAATGAAATATAATTTAATTACCTTTCCAATGCAGCGACATTAGTAACTGTTGATGGTATTGTACCATGGTAAGTGTCAGTATCTTGTTTGAAATCACTCAACAAAGTTTCCCCTTTTTTAACAGCTTCTGCAAAACATTTTTTCAATCTCCCATATTCAACCGCATGACGACATAATAGATCAGCAGATTGTTCTTTAGTGTCTGGTAAATCAACTGTATCATTTGCTAGACGTTCAGTGAATTCATTTAGCATTGAAGAAACCTCGTTGGTTTCATTTGAAAAATTTTCTAACGCCTTAGAAAAAAAATATTTATTTTTTTACAAAATGTCCAATTATAATTTATAATATTAATAAAATTAACTACCCAACAAAATTCAGTTTATTTTTTATATGTAAACATTACCATTCTTTGTTGTATCCAGTGCTGATGAAAATACGGCAAAGTGCCACTAAGCTCAATAGTAAGTTCAGTGTTATCTACATAATCATGTAACTCTTCAATGACACTGCATATAACAACTTTAAATTTAAATTCCTCTTTAAAGAACTTATTGCTCACTTCTGATATAGCTTTCTGTAAAAAACCATTTGGCCGGATGACGTAAACTATGTGTATAAGCCCAGGGAAGAATTCCTGTCAAAATGTTCAACAAACATTATTTAATCAATCTTATGAATTTTTTAAACATTAATGCAATATTTAACTATAATAATTTATAGACTGTCAAATTATATTTTAGATTAAATTCCAATAGTAAGTTTTTCCAATTATATATTTGCTTAAATGTTTACTATGTTTAGCCTAAAAGAACTAATAAGACAACTATTTATCAGAGATTAGGATACATTTCTATACAATTTGAATGAGTGTAAGAATATAAATAAAGTTGTGCACATTTTCAACTTAGTGGGGAGAATTACTACAATACCGTCCCACTTGGATGCTAAAAATATCAAACTTTACATTCGTTGTTTTTATGAAGTGAATTGGCAAGATCAGTTAGATACTTAATCATACCTATTGCTGATCTTATATTTTATTTAAACTTTTTAATTTTTTTACTCATTTTAATTCTAATATTAATTAAATAGGCACATATTTTTTTTAAAAATTTTGATTTAATTAAATATTGTTTAAAAAAAATTGAAGAATAAGTGAAAATACAAGTAATATTTACGTTTTAACTATTTTGCGTGATTTAGAATAAGTGTACATATTAACAAATAATTAACAAATAAAACCATTTTTCATATTTTTAGATTGTTATAAATAAAATATTTAATGATATTGAAAAATATTAAACTTTGAATAAATATAACACTGAGTAATATGAAAAATATTATTTATAAATATTTATTAGAGTAAATTTACCTATCATCAAACTTGTAGGTAAGAATATTATCTGTGCTTAAGTGTCGGCTTTTATTCAATATTTTTATTTTCAAGCAAGATACGGCTGTATGAAATATTACAAATTAAAAATGTTCATATCTCGCTTGGAAATTAATGTATTGAAAAATTCCGACTCTTAAGTGTAGACAATGTTCTTACTTATAAGATTGATAATAGGTCAATTCTTAATAATATCAAAACTAACAGCACACTAAAGAAACAAGGGAATGAAAATTTGGGAAGAGTTATAACTCATACTTAAATGTACATACAAATATAATAAATAATAATATTATTAAAAATACTAGATAAATATTTATTAATGGCATATTTAGCAACATAAAAACCATAATATTTTGATAATATATGAATGTGTAACTTAATGTCAATAAGCACACATAAATTTAAACTAAATTTCCTCATAAAAACACTAACATAACTTAGAAATTGATGAATTTTAATTAATATCAACAATTATTCAGAAAACTTCTTTAAAAAAAAAAGTTTAAATTACTTTAATTATTGCACATTTTTTAAAACTATGTCATTATCAATACATAGATGTAACTAATTGAGATATTATTTAATATTAGAAATATTGAATACAATAAAATATCTTATAACTTACTGCTAAACGTAAAAGAACACATCGAACTGAACTCCACTTGTCATTACGTCTATCAATAACAATGACAAAACCTAAATCAGCTTCCTGCAATCTAAAAACGAAAAGATGCATTAGTTAAATCTTACATATAAAATCAAAAAAAAAAATACATACGACGGAACTGAAGTAATATAAGATATTAATTTTTCATAGCCTTCGTCAGGTAAATCAACAAAATTTCCACTATCAGGAAATGATATAATAGAATAACCCTCTCTAGTTTTACCACCTAGAAAAAAAGTTTTACAATAGTAAATATATTACAATTATTTTAAATATTAAATAGATCTAATAATATGAATCATTTTAATAAAGCATTATGCCGTTAGGTCAAGAATAAAATGCATTTAAAATTGTGACTAAATACTTTGAAAGATTGAACATTAAAAATAATAATAATAGATAGGTATTGAATTCATTAAAAATATAATTAGGAATTTTATTAAATTATTTCTTAGGTAGCTTTTATTTAGGTAATAAAATTACCATGGAAAATCAATGATTAGCATGATAAAGAATTATCAAATAAACAATTTTCTCAATTAAATTTAATATTAACAATATCTGTTCCTGAAGATATTAAAAATACAATATTAAGTTCTGTTATAGTATAAAATTATGAAAAAATGCAATACCCAACACAAATTGAGGTAGGTAAGATAAATAATTTTAACATTTTTAATAATCAAAATTTTATTAAAAACCAATGAAAATCAAAACATTATTCAATTATGTTTTCCTAAAATATTCTAACTTTCAAGTTCATGTTGAATGTTTATATTCTCTTGAAAAAGATGTATAATCCCATCTCCTGAGTATAATGGTTTTAAATCCATTCCGTGTGTAAAATTAAATACCTACATTTATGCAGATTAGTTTTCAGTTATAGAAGTAAAAACTTTTAATCCTAAAATTAAATAAAATACAATTTAGGTACCTAGGAATTAAATATATTGATTTTTAATAAGGCATATTTATTTTAATACAGACCTTAACATAAAAAAAAACGAGATTTTTGTAGTAATCATATACTTTTAACAAAATGTAGATATTTGTAGATATTTAGAAAAGAATCTATGAAATATATGATGGGTACTTGGGAAACAAATTTACTATTTTCACTCAAATTAGATTATAGGTACCTACATTTATATGTTAATTTTAAAATTACTTTCTATATATTTTTGATTTAATTAAATGCTCGATTAAATGTATGTATTAGGTACCAGTAAGTACACAGGAGATTAACATTAAAACAAAATTTGGTAATTTAGGCTTTTTTTTTTAAATATCTGTAAATACCATACAATCATTTAATTAGGTGGTTTTACCTACCAAATACTATAAAAATATTTCATATACCTAATTTAATTTGGTAAAAAAAAAAAAATGCATTTTTGAGCCCCGAAAATCATATAAGCTTCACCTAAGATAGTATATAACTTTGTATGACGTGTTATCATAACATACACATAGTTCAATAATGTTGAGATGTATAATATGTATACTGACCAGAAATCACGATAAACTGTTGAGCCAACAAATCCAAAACATTGTTAATCGAAGGTTTTTGTTCATGCGTCGACGACATTCTTCCTGCAAAATGGAACGATTATAAGGTGGTTGGTTTCAAATTTGTTATTGGGGTGTTCATTGATTATCTTTTTGATTACAATAACAAAAGAAAACTATAGGTAGGTAATGTGTTATCGGTTTGATCTTCGACTCCGTGGCGTGTAACATAGGGTCCAAGTGTTGCTCGGGCAACACCTAAAATATGGGTGGGGCGGGTATTGATAGATGAAAAAATGGTACATTTTGTAGTATTATGAGGGGAGGTCATGTAAAATTATTTGAGCAACACTATTTTTTTTTATGATACACGCCACGATTGTCACGGGCACACCATTATGTTACATTATAATTGATATTCTATGAACCACCGTCGATGGAAAACACGATTTGAATTCCAATTACTCTTTTTGCTACAAGTCATTCGGCGTCCGAATAATTTTCTATTATTATTACAACTACCTATTGATTGACAACGACTATGATCGTTTACTTACATAGAATTACAAAACGAGATACTGGAGACTTCGCAGATTACATGGCCGTCGGAAGGAATCACTAGAACACAAACGTTGTCGGTCGGACTATCGGTGTACCGGAAGTTCTGGGACACGACGGGAGCGATGCCGAGAAAAATAACACTCATAGAACACGAAACTGCGTTTGCCCACGATTCGGACGGTTTAATCGATCGAAACGAATAACGATTGTGAATGTCTCTGGTTCCGATACAGTCGAGTATCGACGAAAAAGACGTATAATAATAAATTCTGTGTAGTAATATAATACCAGGTAAACGGCGTACCTATAGTTGATTGTTGATGTAATATTATAAAAATTATTATTATTATTATTAATTCTGTAATCGTAATCACATTATGATTATTCACAACATTACACCGTCCGCTTTCGGACAGTTTTGGTTTTTGTTGTTATTGTTTTACGGTGCGGTGGTCGCCGTATCACTGAACAGTGGGCCGCCCGTACGGGAATATTCCCGCGCACAACCACAATATTATTACTATTATTATACACAATCACGAACGTTTCGCAACTTTACGTCATCACGTTACTATACAGAGGCCGCTGCACCGGTTTCCGCCGCCGGCTTTTATATTTTAATCTTATCTGCTATAAAGTGTTCCATGCAAATAGAAGAATTATTTATGTACATGGTAAGTAGTATTAATATATATATATATAATTATATAAATATATAATATATTATAAAGATATAAAATAATTGTATTATTCATAATATCAATTATCTGCTTCTAAGAAAATCACAAATTAAATTACAGTAACATCCAGAGGCGCCGATGTCTTATGTAACGCTTTAGACGTAATTATTTTTAAACTTAATTTTGTACGTTTTCAGAAAGTAGGCTTAATACATAATGAAAATCATTTTTTGATGATAAATAATTTTTACCATGAGAAAAAAAATTTTTTTCGGATGTACACTTTTGTGGTTATTATAATAAAAGATGCAAATGAATATTGTGGCGGCCGACGGACATTATAATATTATAAATTATAATCGCCGCGAAATCAGCATTCAGGGGTCCAGAATTCGAGTGTTCTCTACACGGTGTCACGGTTTTAGATTCAGAGCGGTCCGTAGGTCCGTTAAATACATACTTAAATAGTTAAATGCACATTGATTTTACAATGATGTGAATTTTTTTGTGTGTCTGAACTCTGAAGACACTGTTTAGAGTAGAAAAAATACATTGATTTTCCACTTCAATATCTTTGCTAAAGTTAAGAGAATCTAGTTGGTACTTATTTTTAGGGGGTCGAAAATAAAAGATTCTCAGTACCTACCCAAGTCCTAATAGGTAGTACCTACTTACTTAATAATTGGAAAAAACAAAAAATAATTTTGAGCTAAAAATGTGTAAAATTATCAATTTTTATAGAAAAGTCTTGGGAATTTAATACAAGGTTCATAATAAGCAGTTTATACTAGAACCAAAAAATTTAAAAAATAAATAAACACAATTTTTTTTTATAGCCATTTTAATTTAATAATTAGACGAAATGAGATATTTAAACAAAAAATAATGATTTGAGTAATTTTTTATAGTAAAACTATTTTTGGTGGTGTCTTGAAATTTGTACATAATATATCTTATTACTTTTCATATATTATACACAATGTCACAAATCAAAATGACATTTCTAAAACAATTAGATTAATTGTATGCTTTTGTTGAATTATATACTACGAAGTACGAACCTATTTACACTGTTCTACTGTACTGGGTGGTATTGACTGATTTGAATAATAAATAAACTATTTAAAATAATAATATATTGGTACAAAATTATAATAATTAGTATTATAATTATATTAATAATATAATTAGTGTATGTAATGCTTTTGTCGAAAAAATAATTAAACCTAAAAATACTAATACTTAATAGTAAGATAAATTACTTTAATATAGCTGCAATATCAAAAATTATATGATGAAATATACTGAGTATAGTGTTAGTAATACAGGCCAATCTAGACCGTCTTTGGTCAGAATCGTTTTTCGTATGCAATGATTAATCATATTATTATATTCATATCATTATATCATTGAATTCGAATGTAAGTTATAACACATATAATATTAGAATTAGAGTGTCTGAGTATCTTATTACTTTCCGCTAGTAACTAGCCTACTGTACAGCAGATCGATTACCTACTTTTCCTTTTTTTCCCCCCGCTTTGACATATTATATGGTAATAATGGTATTATGATAACATAAAGTATTACCTATGTCCTATGAAAATAACTACAGTCTGCTCTCTGCTGGTTAACCCTCATACACGTCATGTATATAATATATGTTAATATCAACAATAATTATTATTAATATAAGTACCTACTAATTTATATAAAATACTACTTGGTACTTATATTAAACCGGATTTTGGATAGGTTGAATACCTATACTAAAGTTGTTATGATGTACCTAGTGAATTTAAACTACAGTGATGCAAACAGTGCTCTAGAGTCTAGAAAACCATTTTATGTTAATTGCTAATATAGTAATAATGTCTAATGATAATAATATAAGTCGACACAACAACAAAATTGAACCAATTTTATCTAAGAAAAAATATTACCTAACACCGCCTATATACAAGGTAGTCAATACACTACATTTTAATTATGGTCAAATAATTATTAAAAATGAGATATTCAGAGTTTGGCGCACCTACCAACCAAAAAAAAAAAGAAGGTAAGCAAGTGGGTTACCCTCTGCTGACAGTAGGTGTCGTCGTGTAGAGTGTGTCACTGAAATCGTTGTGTTAAAGTTGAATTCAATGATATACAATCATTATATAGTAGTATAGTAGGTACTGAGTATATTTTATGATATTATTACTATTAAAGTAATTTATTTTACTATTTGTATAATAGGGCTGCAGCTGAATTAATTTTTGAGAAATTATTACATTTTAAAATATCATTGTGTGTATACAATATAATAATATACTTTATAGGTTTCAAGAATCCACGAATAATATTTTAAAATTACAAAAAAATATCTACAACTTAAGTTTCTACTGCTATTCTTCGTTTAAATATTATCTATAATGTCGTTAAAATTTGATCTTAAAATATTTATAAGAAAAACCGTATTTATATATGTTTTAGATTTTTTGGATACTGTATGACACTATGACTTTATTATACTTTTTTTTAATTTTCAATCCTTAGCTATAATAGTATAATAATTGAGTATTTTGTATATTTTAAACTACCAAGTATTTTAAACATTTTCAATCTGAAAATTTTCAAATTTGATCAATTGAAATCATTTTTATTAACATTATAATAGAAAAAAAAACCAAAAAAATTTTGAAAATTTAAAATATATCTATATACTTGCTAAAAAAGAGAAAAAATATTTTTAAAGTTACACAATGTATCACTTTTCTATCAGAAACGCCACCAGATTCTGAAATATAAAATCAAAACATGTTTACTGCCAAAAGACCACAACAGGGGCGTGCTCGAGGGGGAGGGATTAGGGGGTTCTCACCCCAATGGATACTTAACAGTTATAATAGAATATATATTATATTATATTATATTATATTACAAAATTATGTACTTAAAAATAATTATAATATTATTGTATTTCTCAATTTTAAATCGGGCAATTTACTATTTTTTGTATGCCCTCCTTCATAATTCCTGAGCATGCATCTGGCCACAAAGGTGATGAACTGATGACACAATACAATGAACAAATACAAAAAAAAAAAACTAAAACCTTCTCTTTGCAACTACCCATTTTCCTAACAATCAAACACATTACACGTATAAATATTAATAGGCAAAATAGCAAAACAAATACAAAGGTTTACGTAAATCATGGCATTTAAATATTATTTAATATGCACATAGTAAGTACAGAATATTATAAATATTATATTATTAATTATTTATAATAAAAATTCTATTGATTGTGATATTCTAAATTCGAATGATTTTTAAAGTCTTCCAATGCATGTTTCCAATCATCATATTTTTTTAATACAAATGCTCCCAATTTTTGGTTATTAACACCGGCTTCATTTTTAGTAAAAGCAACACAATATTTGCAATACGCACCATTGTTTACTTCTGAATATGCCAACCAGGGAAAGTTAATTAGCCATTTATATTGAAATTTCAACCTCAAAACTTTTTGTTGCTTACCGACTACTGATATTTTGATAGGAAAATTATAATTAATATCAGGGACCCAAATTTTGCTCAAAATTTCTTCTATTTCACTTTGCGTTAACAATTTATTTGTGTAATGTGCAATGTCAAAAATATTATAACTGGAAGATGTACGATTAATATCTATGGTCGAAGGTGTAAACTGAGTGATAGGTGTATCAGATGCAGATGCAGTTTATGGTAATGAGGAACTAGAGGAACTTATAACTGTTGTATTCAATGCATTTGACAATGAATTCATTATTGAGGGTGGTTTCGAAAAAAAAAGATTGCAGTTTCGATT